TTGATTAATAGAAATAAAAAATATAGAAAAAAATACGCTTCATCTATTTCATGAAAAACGGCAATTACATATTTCACTATAAATAATTAATACATAAATATATGAAATATAAATAGCTAGTAATCGTAATAGATACAAGCAAATAGTATTTGAAGAATCAGAAAAAGGTATTTTAAATGCCTTTTTTCAAAAAGAAAAGTAGTTCATTTGACGTAAAATTTTCTGTCAATAAGTAAATACTGAGCCGCTGTTAACCCAGTACATTTATTTTGATAAGATTCAATCTATAGGTACTTAAATAAATTTTAAACACACCCTTGCAAAGTTTTTTTCTTTTATTTTCTTGAAAAAGCGGTACTTTTATCTCAAGATAAAAAAACCTATTTGTCAATCCAAACTTATAATAACATAAATTCCGTTCAGTACTTTTTGCGTGAAGAAGTAAGAATATAACCATATCTCTTAACTTTATAACCAAACAACCAAACTTTCACCTTTCGAATATCAGTAGGATTTAATAAGATGAAAATTTTACTTATTTTATTTTTATGTAGGCACGTTAAGAATCCTTTACTCTAGAGTAAGATATATTATTTTAGCCTCGCTAGGGTACGATAAATATATATTATATATAATGACGGATTATGTGAGTAAGGAATGTATTATTCTACAAGGCAAATGTAAAATCAAAGGAATGAGTAGTTGTCCCAAAATCTTCCTTATATAATATTTTTGAACTTCAAGGTGACACAAAAATTTTGACGACCTTCGGTCTATCGCACTAGCGTCAATCGAACCACAGTTTATCGAACAGACGTATTCATCGCACTTTCGATTGTCGAGCTCAAGTAGTGAACTCATCTCTGAGTGCCAGGTGCAAAGTGGATTTTTTAAGCATTTTTCATTAAGAATAAGTAGTTTCTAATTCTGTTTGTTTGTTATTGGGGATAATCTTCGTTAAAACTGATTCGATCATAAAAATGTCCATTGTACAGATCCCAAATTAAGTCCTATATATTTTCGACCGTCAGTTCTGCGCTGGCACTGTAGTAACGCTACTGATGTATGTGAATAAAGGCTCCCCCACACAGGCGCGTTATTATAGGTCGATAATATCGCATATTTATGCAATAAACAGAAATTTTGTACTAAGAATAATTTTCAGTATAGAATTGTGAATGCGAAATTAATCAAATATAATAATTAGAACAAATTCTCATCTTTAATGAAAGTTTCAATATTTGTAATAATATTTCTTTCGGCTGTCTGGGTGGATGCCTGAACATTATTTTATTTTTTTTATTTATTGAAACCAACAGCTTGTTACAGTTCATACTTACAAACTTATTTATAATAATTTATAAAGCCAATAATAGGTTTCTTGTATACATATTGTGTTTCATTTTATATGTTAGCTGCTTAATTAATAAATAATGTTAATGTTGCATTTGAATGACACAAAGAAAAACTTAAATTTAATACCCAGAGAATACCGCACGCACACCGTGCATACCCAAATCAAGATTTTCCCACCAGTCACATAAAGATGTCAACACCCACCCGTTTAAGATATGATTAAAACAAACTGATAAACCATTAAGTGTATGGATATAGTATAAGAACCCAATTGGTGAGGATAACTGGGAAGTAGTTTTGAAGTGTATACTTTACCAGTACTAAGTATCAAGCTAATTAGGAAGCGCACTTGAAATCGTTCAGTATACTTCTCTTAAAAGCGACTTTACTTAACAAGAAGATATCTTGTTCGTTGAAAGATTCGTTGTGAGTACGAGCGATTCGCGAAAGGACAGTATTTTTAGCATAATTAGTGGCGTGATATGGTATTGATGAGAATACGCTCTGTAGTAGCGAAAAGTAACAAGTTCTTGAAAGATTCGTCAATCCTGTTAGGTCCTGGGTAGCTCAGTGGTTAAAGCAGTCGCCCGAATTGCGAAAGGTCGTGGGTTCGGGTCCCATCTCAGGGGTGGAACGAAGTGGATTTTTTAAGAATTTTGTATTAAGAATAAATTTCAGTATAGCATTGTGAATGCGAAATTAATTAAATATAATAAACAGAAATGGTTTAAAACCGCTCAAATGCGACTACCTTTTGCATCTAATTTCAGTTCCATTTACGATTCATCAAATAAATCATATAACAGTAGTTCACATCTGCATACATTGTTAAATCAATAAAAACATGTAAAAATAACGTTCTCTTCAAATTCAATTTTTTCTTTGTAATGGGTTTCAATTTTATGGATTTTATTATCAGATATACAGATTTTTATTCTCCCAGTAACATTGCTGGTTAAACGACTGCCGAACATGGTCACCTTTGTCGGAGATACGGGTCGCTTTTTGGTAGCCGTATGGAATTTAATTCACCTATGGTATGGATTAAACGCATCGACGATGACCCCAAAACAAGTTCTGACGAAAGTCACTTTGACTTTTTAAGCTTAAACCTAAGTATTACTTACAGCTATCACAAACAAGATTGACATTAGGACGATTTTTTAGATAAAGTTGTGTAAGTAGCTAAATCATATTGCTTACCTGCCATAGAGGCACTGCTCATCCTTCCGCGAGTGAAATCAATTTTGAATATTTATATAAAATCTATTAACAAGAAAAGTAATTATTAAAAAGTATTTGTTTTTAAAATGTATCGGTAATAATGCTAAATATTTTTTCACTTCATCAGTCAAATATATTTGACAATGCAAAATAATTTTGAAAACTGAATGAACCATAAACAATAATAAAAGATTGGATAAATATTTACGATTGAAACATAGAGAGAAAGATGATTTAAATATAAGTTAAATAATTGATTTAATTGTATTAAATACCAAACTTTATCATTGTTTCGGGTGAATTTATTTAACAATAATTTACTTGATTGTTTCTATTTTTTGAAATATTTACCATTTAGTTACTTGGGAAACAATTACATTATTATTAGAACCATGGAACCTTAAACGGACTAGCTTTATAATAAGCAATCGTATTAGATATGGTAATTTGAAACAATATAGCTAATTTACTACATTTAATTAATTTAATTGAACATTCAATTCTAATATCACTTCTGCATGCGTAGTATGACGAACTCGAGAGCGTTTAGTCTACACTCAAATGTCACTTTTCTCGGGTGCGCCCATACTATATCTCACTCTTGACCCGAGAAACTGACAAATTAGTGTAAACAAAACGTTTCTCGAGTTTGTCATGCTACGCGTGCAGGAGATTCATATGGTCTAAAGCAGAGCTATAATATAACTCTATATCCATTACATACATTTGTCTTTGTTTTGTTTATGGTTATCAAAGTTACTAGTTACTCTAATTTACCCACCGTAATAGGAAAATATTGAAACCAAATAATGTATATATTTCTTTCAGTGCCATTATTTTTTTATTCAAATGAATGTTTATTTAAAAATAATCATCTAACTCTTTCGATGAATTTGAAAATTCGATCAGCCGACTAGCTGAACAGCGACGATCTACAATACTGCTAAACAAAGGTCAGCCAACTAAATAATTATTAATTCGTTGAGAATCAGTGCGGAATGGTGGTTGTTAACGACTGCAGAATTGCAGATGCAGCCGGGGAACAACTTAACGGGCCTTTCGAGGCACGGATGAGCTCGAGATAATTAAATAAATATATAAATACATATCAAACAACATCACGTACATCGCTCAGATTACAAGATAAGTAGCTGAAGTCCTCGTATTGCGGTGTATCTAAGACTGCGATCCGAGACCATGAAGGTACTACAACACCCAGACCCAAGTAAATATAGAAAAGTGCATTTTGACCCGATCAGGAATCGAACTCGGAATCTCGACGAATCAGTCAGCTATGTAGGTCGTAACCCATGAATATTGCTTAACAAGTTATCGCAAACTTTACCATCGCCTCATATTTTTTCGACTAATATTTTATATAACACGTATTAATTCATATATATAAGACATCTTAAAAAATATACATAAGTCTGTTATATTATCTATTCCATATTAACGACTAGCTGAACAGCGACGATCTACAATACTGCTAAACAAAGGTCAGCCAACTAAATAATTATTAATTCGTTGAGAATACCGTAGTTTATTGGCAGAATTAGAAGTAAAACAAAATAATTTGTGGAGAGTGGGTGATTTTAAATAAATTCCAAAAAAAAAATTAAAGTGCTTATTCGTGACTGAATGTTCTCATTTTCGTGTAATCCAGTATAAGAACACCAATAACACAAGTGGGTTAAACTTAACATTTCATAGTATATTATTAAAACAATTATAAAAATATAAGATTTACCATTTTTCAGTGACCATAGTGCCATATATCGAAAATGAAAGTAATCAATGTATTTAACTGCGATTGTTTTAGTATGTTTATTACGATTTTGAAGTTATAACAATAAATTAAAAGCAATGAAGATATTTTGGCCCTGTAGGTCACGTGATAGGTTATAAATAAGATGTAAAATTTTGAGGCTATTTTTTAAACAGAATACAAAACCAAATGAATTTATTGGCGGCTTTTACATCAGCCGTCTCGTTGAATGGTCCAAATGTCATAATGTAAAAAAATAACTAGAGAACTAGGCGTGTAATTGAACGGCGCCATTCTAATAATAGGCGAGACCCAATTGAACGACTATTCTAACCGACAGATGATATAATATTCGGATCTTCTTTTTTTTATCATAGTTATAAAATTCATCCTATTAGATGACGAGCTGAAAATATTCTATGACCTTTTAACTTTTGTAAACTCAAAATACTTAACCTTGACCAAACAATACAAATGTTTGAAAGTAAATGTTTTAATTTATGCAAAATAAAATCTTATCTGGCAACTTCCAGTAGTCAATTCACTCACTTAGGCTAAAAGATAAGCATCCGAGCCAAGAAAAAACTATTAAAAAAAAACTTCACTCACTGTCACTGATATGTCAATGTCAAACAAATTTATTGTTGCTGTCAATGTCGTCAGATTGTCGTGCAGTGGTTGGTTTTGTTTTAAGGTTATGTTTATTTATTTGCCTAAATAAACATTAGTTTTCTAATATCGTCATGCCGCCAAAGAAGAGAGTAACTGTACATAATAAACGGGTTAACCATCACGTTCAACGGGATTACGCAGAGAGGCTAAATGATTTATGTATCGAATCATCAGACGAAAGCTCTAAAAACACTGATTCTGACGATGAAGGTACCGAAGCTACCTTTGCTGTGAGCATGTGGGACTTAAACCATTGCGACCCTAAGAAATGTTCTGGTAGAAAATTACTAAGACATAATCTCATAAAGAATTTGAAGCTCGGCCAAAGGTTTCAAGGACTAGTTTTGTCACCAGTTGGTACACAATGTGTGAGTCCGGCAGACAAAGATATCATAGAAAAATTTGGTCTTGCTGTTATAGATTGCTCTTGGGCAAAGATTGATGAGACACCTTTTGGACGAATGAAATCAAACCATCCTCGGCTGTTACCCTTCCTAGTGGCAGCAAATCCTATCAATTATGGAAAACCATATCAATTGAGCTGTGTAGAAGCATTAGCAGCAGCAATGTTTATCACTGGTCATAGACAAGAAGCTAAATTTTACCTTTCAAAGTTTTCCTGGGGACATTCTTTTTTGGAATTAAATTCAGAAGTTTTAGATTTATATGCAAACTGCACAGATAGTAGAAGTGTCATACAAGCCCAAAACACATACTTAGAAAATGCTGATAAAGTAAAGGATGATAGGCCCATGTGGCCCCCGAGCGAGTCTGACACAGAGTCAGAAGAAAGTTAGTATTATTTTAAATCAATATACACGTGTATACATATAATATAATTGTAAATAAAATGTAAACTTTACATGCCTTTATTAGATCTATCTAGAATTAAATATGTGTCTCTTGGATATTAATAATAATGCTTACCCTGTGTCACTTATACATAATAAATGTCATGTCATAAGTAAATCTTATCTCACTAGGGCAAATGCTGAGTAACAATGTTATAATCTAAAATACAAAATAGGGAATCTGTTGTATGTATATACAAATCTAATATTGCAAGAAGATTGATTATAAATAAAACATAAATATTAAAGTATATATTTTTTATTTCATACTGTGAAGATACCATAGCAAAATACAAAACAATAATTTATTACAAAAATGATTAATAGTAGAGTCGCAACGCCTAGGGAACTTAACGTGCGCCATCTATTGAACTATTTTGTATTTAACGTATTGCTTCGCACAAGGACATCTAGCGGATTATAAAAATAATTTTGTTACTGTAATACTGAACTAACAACAGAATCACATGTGAAATAGTAGATGGCGTGCGCTGTATTATTCTACTGACTTTATGTTTTGAAACTGTCATCCACCGGCTTACCGGAAGCTTTCGATTCCTTCGAGCTTTAGTTTGCGTTTGATGTTTGGATGTAACGCTAGGGTTGTGTCGCGTGGAGCCGTTGTTTCTAAACTCGCGGAATAACTTATTATTATTTATTTTTGTGCGATTACAAGTGGCCGAGTTTAAAGTGTGAAGTGGTTCTTGTGTTTGTGTATGAATTTATGACTGACGGAAGCCGTTTCCTTTGGAGTTTTCATAGAAAAAAACTTTAGAGGTAAGTTCGCTTACTTCGATGCAACCTGTCACGCAGGTGTCTCACAAGTCACTAACCTCAATGATGTGATACATAGCAATAAAATTAAGTATTTCATAAAGTTAATGTCATTTACACAAAATAGAGTTACCTTACTTGAATATTCTAGGCACGTCATTGACTGATTTATTTTATTGAAGTTAAGTACCTAGATAAATTCGCAATCTTCTTACATATACCTATATGCTTAATTAGTAAAACTTTGTAAGTATAACTTAGCCTAGGTAAGAATGCCTACTAAAAAAGCAAAATATATACTACTCGTACGAATTAACATGACGCCTGACACCCTATTTATTTCTCTAAAAATCGAAATTTCATCAATTTTCGAAATGCTGATAGGTAGGTAGGACTTCAAAGAAACATTTTCTTATCATGTTAATTCGTAGGAATAATGGCACAATAAGCATTATCTTGTAGTGATAATAAAAGTAGATTTACCTACCTACTATGAATACCATTCCATTCCATATCACCGTGATTCCTTTATAAAACAACGGCAATCGGCGAAAACACAGATACTTAGGGTATCTATTGAATTTGAATTATAAAATAATGATTTCTATAGAAAAAATCACAATGTTTGCCCATTAAATTCACAATTTTTTCCATTTCGTGTTATAATTAAACCCATTTTAAAGATAGATTGATGATTTTTTCCTCGTTGTATAGAATAATAAACCAAGAACGGACATAGTAAAAAAATACGTAGGATGTACAGCCGATTTGAGAATCTCTTATTATTTCTTTAGAACAGAAGTTTGCTTTTAATTCGATTGATAAATATGCTTACTCTGCTTTTAAAAGCTGAAGAGTCATACATTACCAAATCTTCTTGAGGTTTATTCAAAAATATGTTTTAATTTACCATCTTTTAACAGAAGTAACTTTAGGTAAGGTTAAGACTAAATTAATTATTTATTTAGTCACCAAATCTTTTTATATTTTTTTTATTAAGAGAAATATATGATGTCTCAGTTCTTTAATTTATTAGCTAGCTAAACGACGAAGACCACCGCCATACCTGAGACAATATAGAAAAGTCATTTTATTTATCTCGACCGACGAGGTATCGAACCCGGAAACTGGTCGGTTCACAAACGATTCGGCCATATAATACCTGTGATCGACCTATAGACAAAGTGAACAAACTACTGCTTTTCATCATAAACTAACACCGGACAGCCACTGCTTATTGGCCTTGAATCGACATTTTATTCTAGACATAAAACACCTTGACTCTATAAAAAAGACAAATCATAGCACAGATTATAATGTTATTATTTTCTGCAGTAGGTACAAAACAATAAAAACTACGACTTCCAGTATACCTTCCTACTTCAAAAGGATTTATTTGATCAAACCTCTCACTTAGGTAATGCTCCGACCGCGATGTGTACTTTAAAAAAATAGAACCGATTTCAAATTTAGCTTTAATTATAGCATTTTCTTGAATAAGTCGCTTTTGAGATAAGTATTTATAACTCTTTTACATTATAAGTCGGTTCTATTTTTATTTAAAGTTTTTATTTCATGCTTTCTAGTGATATTGATATAATATATATAACTATCTTTCCGCCATTCATATCATGACACGATGGATATAATTATAATAACAAATTGAATAGTAAACAATCGTTTCTATGACAATGTTTTCATCCCCTATACAAATTTCCACTCCTATTATCATCCTTTTATTTAGCTTAGCTTTAGCTTTCCGTAGGTGAAAGAATTTTTAAAATCGTCCAGTAGTAACGGAGCCTATTCGTTGCAAACAAACTAACTAACAGACAATTAAATTTTTCCTCTTTATAATATTAGTATAGATATAGTTCTTTATTAATATTCAACATAGTGAAAGTCTTAGAAAAGATTTTGTTTATTTGCTCGACATATTTTTTTCTTATAATTCTATACTCATAAATAGGAAAGATTTGATTGCTTGTTTGTTTTGCATTGGGTAGAGTTTGAAACTATTGGATCGATTTATTTAGTCTTTCATCCATTTCTACGGGAAGTTACATAATACGCGTTGGACATCATATGCTATAATTTACGCAGGCGAAGTCGCGGGGAAACAGTTAGTTTGATAAAAATTGGTTTACAGTTCAAGATGAAATCGCTTGACATACCCACTTTAATAAAAAAAAATATACATACTACTTGAACATAGAAAATCCTTTCGGATTTTGAATGCATTCAGAATAGACATTTTTTTTTAGTTTTTTAACTAAGATACAATATATATCATCTAAATATTTAGGTGATATATGGTGAAAAGCTATTTTGTTTTGTTTTAAAGGAAACTACTGATTCGATTTCAATAAAGCTGTCGAATAAAAAAAAAATATGAAAATCGGTCAACAATTGGCGGAAATATCGGTAACATACAAAACATACATCGCCATCGAACATATAACTTCCTCCTTTTGGATTTTGAAATCGATTAAAAATACTCTATATGTAGGTAGGCTTATTTGCCTATATTTTCGCAAAACCGTTGCCTTAAAATTATATTTGAAAATAGGAATATAACACTCTAAAACTTATGTTTAATGAAAACCGGTATGCAGTCTTAAAAATGAATACATTTCGCAAGCGCCATCTCTTGCCAGTAAAGTATATGTCAACGAACAATGGATTTTCCAGCTCCTAGAATATTTTAAACAATGGTTTACAAGGAAGGCATCTTTACATACAGAAAAATGACATACTTTAATGTCATAACGACACTCTCCATAGACAAAACTTATTATTATACAAAGAGTACATTTGTATTTATTATAACTGTCTCTACCAGTCTCTACGAAATTATGGTAGAATTTGCTGTTTTTGGCCTTTTAAATTTTATGTGTTTTAGGTAATAAAATGCATTAATTAACATTCGGATCACAATGATTTAGTCTACGAAACTTACGTTTTGTGTCCATACATGTGACGTTTTGTTGGGTAAGGAAAAAACGTAAATATAACCTTTAGAATAAGACCCAATAATCGCAAGAATACCAACTTATCTTCTGATACATAATGTGTTGGAAATATCTAGAAATTCTTTCTGATTATTTATTTTATCAATATTCTCCAAACTTTCAAATTGGAATTTAAGAAACTCGTTTAGTGTGTTTACTTATAAATAATGCCATGAAGACGCGCAAGTTCTTTTCTTTCTCAACATTTGAGCGAAACTTAGGGTACCCTTTTTATTCTTCAAAATAAGATTTCTTACAACTGTATTCATGTACTAATCATCACCGACGTTGATTGGGATCAAATCTCTTACACTCCTTGACATCTTAGGACAAAATTTGGTGGCACGAGTCTTTATTAATAGCTCAATCTGTACCTGATATCTGTAAATTGGCCGCCATGTCATGCTAGCAGATTGACATACGATAACTACATATTACTTATCTAACATATATTGCCCATCAGAAAATTTGTAATATCGGCTTTGGAATCTTGGTCTATTAATAAAGATACAGTGAGAACTTTTAATAATTTTAATATAAACTGTAACTTTCGCTTTGAATGTCAATTGAATCCTTGATAAAATAACTCAGAAAAAAAATACTATTTCGAACGCCAACATAGGTAAAGTGTAAAATTTGATAGATATTTTAAATACAATCCAAAATGAAAACATTTATTAAATAATCAAACTTTTTCAGGTCTATAATGTGGTGGTGTAGTTTATAGTGAACGATTTGAATTACAATATTTTTGAGAGATATTACTCTCTCTTCATTTTGAAGTCTGTGAGCAGTAGAAGAAAACGACATGCTGTCAGACAGTCATCATGGAAATCGGATTTGCTCTTGCACTTCTTGTTTTTATGAAAGTCGGTCGTGTAATCCTTCTGTACAACAAATGCTTAAAGAGGGTTCGAGAATCGATCGACTTTTTCTCGGCAAATATATTCCATTACGTGAAAGAAATTTACTGAAAAAATTAACAAGAACCAGAGCAGTTTACAACGACATCAACTGTCAGCTTGCAGCTGAAAGTGAAACTTCTGTAGATGCATCCTACTTTGCACCAAGACAGCAAGCACAACCACGCTGTATAACATTAGATGGCGAAACTAGTAATGCTATTTTCGAACTAGTTGAACTTTTAAAAAACAATAGAGATTGCCGATTGAGCAATAGTTGTAATTGTTGTAGTTGCAATGCTATTCATGAAAATGAGTATTCATCAAATAAACGGCGGCAGAGGCACACATATGGCGAGTACACAAGATCAATGGGCCAATGCGGCGTTTGCTTTAAAGACAGACCTACTAAATCAGAACCTTATGTGCACGGTTCTAAAAAAAGGGGTGAAATGATAAAAAAATATTCGAGAAATATTATTAGAAGATTAAGATCGGAGCGGGAAAGCTTAGAGCAGTCAACTGCTTTTCTTATAGACGATAATAACAAAACTTACAAAAATGAAAAACACCCTAAACATAATATTCAACAGCATAAAGAATCTCAATTACAACTAAAGCAGAAGAAAGGTAAGCGAGAATCAAAAACTAAAGAGGTTAAAACAGAACACAAAAAAGCTAAAATAAGCGGCGAAATGATAAGACAAATTTCAAGAAATGTGGTTGGAAGATTACGACCGCAGCAGCAAAATTTGGAACAACTGCCTAATTTACATATAGATAACAAAAATAGAACATCTAAAAAAGAAAAACACTCTAAAAACTACAAAGGGTCTAAATCGCAACTAACTCAGAGTAAAGAAAAAAAGGAATTAAAAGCGAATGAGCCTAAAAAAGACCATAAAAAAACAGAAGCTTCTAAAATTAATAAAAGCGCCAAGAAATCCGGCACTAAAACATTGCATGCTGTTGCCAAAAAATCGACTGACAAAAGACAACAAGCATATCGGTCGCATGATTTAAATGAAACTTCATTTTTTATAAGGAAAGATTCTGTTACAAAGTATAAGGATGAACTTGAAAGAAGAAGACGAGAGTATATCGATAAAATTGTAAATAAATATAAACCCTGCAAATCTACTTCATCAGGTTCTTGCTACCCAGGAGAATGCGACCCAAACGAATGCTGTAGAATATTAGAAAATAGACGCCGTAAGCGACGCAGAAAAGGAAAACGTGGAGGGTATGATTATAATTCAAAACAAACTAGTGAGATGGTCGAGACTCATTCGTCACGAAAATCCGAACTAGAAACAATATTCAAAACTCAAAAACCTGGTGATGTGATTCGAATATTGGAAAACATAGGTGATGAACCCGACATTAAACATACTAAAAGGACTTTGGAATTAAAAAATCAAAAAAGAAAAGGACTCAATATCAAGCGTAGACGTAAAAACAAAGTTGAGTCTGAAACAGTTTCAATTGGTTCTTCTATCGATAGCATACACAAAAATAATAAAATAGAAAAAGTGATTGAAAAACATCGGACTTCTCAAACGGAATTGGGAAAAAATGTGAATCTTAATAAGGCAAGAAAAATCCACATCAAAACTTCTTCTAAGAAACTTAAAACTTCTGCTCAATCTAAAAATCACATTCAACTGATTAAACCAATTTCTTGTGAATGCATCATGAACAATAAAAAAGCTGCTGTAACAAGTGCAAAACAAACTAACAAAGAAAAAATAAAATCATTAAATGTTGACATTAAAGCGGAACATCATCAAAAGACTTCCAAAAATATAAGACGTATTCACTCATCAATTAGTCATCTAATAGAACAGTCCAACCATAAGTTAATGAAACATAGATTGCGTAAGTGTTTTTGTAAATTAAGACTAGCTAATCGATCTAGAAACGAAGATAGTTTTTTACCATATGAATTCGACTCCGAATTCTGTGATCCAAATATGTGTTTAGAATTAAACAACCGACTACGGATGCGAAAGCCCCGTCGACATAGTAAACGTTCTAGCTCAGAATATCGTAGAACTAAATCAACATCTAGTTTTACCCAAACGACCAACACAAATAAACTCAAAAAAATACAATCGAGTCCAATCAGAAAAAAGAAAATAAGAACACCTAGAAAAGCTGCTTCAACATCCAGCGACATAGTTCATAAAATTATAAAGGTTGATAAAGAAGAAGTAAACGATGGGAATAAAATAGAGTCTGATGCAGCTGTGATGGGTGTTGAACAGATAAAAAAAACAAAGAAAAATCGAGTAGTAAAAGACATAGGTAAAAGTACAAATCCAAAGCAATTACAAAAAATACATCCCAATACCGCCTCAAAGAAAATTCAAACTTCCTTTCAATCAAAAATATTGCCCGACATAATTCCAAATAAAAAGAAAATCAACAAACACGTTGATTCTATAAATGTCAAAACCACTCAAAGACCAAACAAAAGAAAAACCTCTGAAAAACCATCATCACAAGATAAAACCGAAGAAATTGAAAAACCTCAATCTAAAATACACATTCCTTATATTCAATCAATATCTTGTGAATGTATCTCTAACAATGACGAAACTGGTGTATTAGGAACTCCAAAAGAACAAGAAATTAAAACCAAAACAGGCTCGAAAAAAATTAACATTTCATATCAGTCCAAAATATTACCTGAAGTTATTCAAGATAAAAATAATATCAACAAATATGTGGATTCTAAAAGTGTTAAAACCACTCAAAGAATAAATAAACAAAAAAACTTAGAGAAACCATCCTCACAAGATAAAATCAACGAAACTGAAAAACCTCAATCTAAAAGGCAAATTCCCCGTATTCCATCAACGTCTTGTGAATGTGTCAATAACAATGAAGAAACCGTTAAATTAGGTACTCCAAAAGAATCACAAAAAAATCCTGTCAAAACAAGTTCTAAAAAAATTCAAACATCCTTTCAGTCCAAAATATTGCCTGACATGATACCAGATAAAAATAAAATCAATATAAATGTGGAATCTAAAAGTTTTAAAACCACCCAAAAACTAAGTAAACGAAACAACTTAGAGAAACTATCTTCACAAGATAAAATCAAAGAAATTGAAAAACCTCAATCTAAAAGTCACATTTCCCATTTTCAATCAGCGTCTTGTGAATGTCTCAATCACAACGAAGAAACGGTTGTATTAGGTATTCAAAAAGAATCACAAAAAAATCCTATCAAAACAGGTTCTAAAAAAATGCAAACTTCCGTTCAATCCAAAATATTGTCTGACATGATTCCAGATAAAAATAAAATCAACATACAGGTGGATTCGAAAACTTTTAGAACCACCCAAAAACAGAGTAAACGAAAAAATTTGGAAAAACCATCCTCGCAAGATAAAATTAAAGAAACTGAAAAACCTTCCATAAAATCAACCAGCCAACAACATAAAATAAAAGAAATTGAAAAACCTCAATTTAAAAGTCACATTTCCCGTATTCCATCAGTGTCTTGTGAATGTCTCTATAACAACGAAGAAGCTGCTGTATTAGGTACTCCAAATGAATCACAAAAAATTACTACTAAAACAGGCTCTAAGAAAATGCAAACTTCCTATCAGTCCAAAATATTACCTGAAATAATTCCAGATAGAAATAATATCAATAAACATGTGGGTTCAAAACATGATAAAATTATTCGAAGACTAACTAATAAAATTAACTTGGAGAAATCATCTTCACAAGACAAAATCAAAGGAATTGAAAAAACTTCATCCAAAAGTCACATTCCCCATATTCAATCAAAGTCTTGTGAATGTATCACTAACAATGAAGAGACTGCTGTATTAGGTACTTCAAAAGAACCACACAAAAATCATGTCAGAAAAATCCCTAAGAAAATTCAATCCTCCCACCAATCTAAAATATTGTCTGGTTTAGTTCCAGACAAAAATAATACCCATATACGTGTGGATTCTAAAAGCTTTAAAACTACCCAAAAATTGAGTAAACGAAAAAACTTGAAAAAAATATCCTCGCAAGATAAATTTAAAGAAACTGAAAAACCGCAATCTCAAAAACAAATATCCCGTATTCCATCAATGTCAAAAACAGAACATAATCAGGAGACCCACAAAAGTTTACGCCTCAGACGGTCATATAGCAGTATCATGACTGGAAAAGCGAAACATAAGATAAAAAAACACAGATTACGAAGGTGCTTTTGTACATTAAAGTTATTTAATAGATCCAGAGACGATTATTTACAATTACCATATGAATGCAATCAAGGAGTCTGTAATTCAGACCTACGTATGAAAGGTCACAATAAACGTCCAAGCGTTGATCATCGCCAAATTAAATCGACATCTAATATTACTCAAACAACGAAATCAAATAAGCCCACTAAATTACACTCGAGATTGTATCCTACAAGAAAAAATAAATTAATAAAACCAAGACAGATTACTTCAACAACTAGCAGCCCAGTTCAACAAACTATAATAAATTCTACGGAAAATTTGAAATCTGATTCGTTTGGCACATTCAAAAAAGCGAACCAAGGAAACAGTCAAAGTATTGTAAAGCAACTCAAAAAATCTACATCAAATATTATTAAAAGGAAAACTAAGGGATCTTTAATTGTTCCGGGACTTAAAAAACATGTTGATAGTAGAAAACATGGCCTTAGTTATACGCAGCATAATGTTCCTATGAAAACTCTTAGCAAGCAGAATCAAATAACTGTGACAAGTAAGAAAAAACAAACAATAACAGATCGTTCAAAATTAAAATCAGTTTCAAGTTTTACTCAAAAATCACCGCTGCCATTGCCGCCACCATTGCCACCGCCAAGACCCAAAAGAGTACCAGCTAAGTCATTTTTTTTGAAACAACCAAAAAGAGGTTTCTCGTCAAGATCCATGAAACAAGGGAACAAAAGAAAGAGTTTGCCACCAATAGTGCATTTGAAAATTCCACGTCAGACCGTTCGGTATGGTTCTAGTATAAGTTTTAATATAGAATTCACTAAATACACTACAAATAAAAGACAAGGAAGCTTTCTCGAAGACAGAAATATAAAAACGGGACAGACGAAAATCTATACAGTTAGTAAGGTGACAAGAAACAAATACAAACAGCCTAATAACACACAAATACAAAATCACAGTGTGCGAAAAGTGGGAAAAAAATTGAAAGACGCTAGCGCCTTACATCTTAGCCCTTATTCTCGATCAAGCATAGAAAATATACCAAGTAGTCTCTTAAATAAGAAAATCAGATCTGATCAAAAATACTCAAGGAACTGTGATATAAACTGGGACAATTTAAATAATTTTCTATCACCATTAGTATATAATCTTCAGACAGAAATAAAACGGAAACCTTTTTTCCAAAACTACTTTAATTCCCTGAAGGTAAAAGATAACGACATTGTTAAGATTATAAACAGTGTTACAAAAGCGAAGTGCTCTGATTTAGAAAATCAAGATTTAAAAGACCCTTATGAAAATAGTTGTTATAATTTTATCGAAATCAAAAGATGCGTATGTAATATTTGCATTCCATGTGGTAGTATGATAGCATCTAGCACTGAATTTGAAAATATAGTACATTTTCCCGAAGAACTGGAAATAAAATCAACGGCATATAATGCGAAAAGATTAAGTGAAATTTATAATCTGTCCTCCAAGGCTATCGAAATCGAAACAAAAAAAGGAACTATAAAGATTAGTGAAGATAAGTCAACGGTAACTAGTTCAAAACCTAACACCCAGCGTCATCACAAAATAATTCAAACGGTCTTTTCTAAAACTCTTATGCTTAAAAGATTTATGGATTCATCTCTTGATTTGTTGAAGCAAAGTATACATATAGTAACTAAAGTTAGGCCTGATAGAAAAAAATATAACACTAGAATATACCTACTAAAACAGAATTGCAGGCAAAAAAAGAACATTCTATGAACTTCTAAAACCTTAGTTTAAATACTAGTTTTTAGAAATCTCAATTGAAGCTGCATTAAGAAAAGATGCTCGATAAAAATTTTGTTACCTACCCGTAATTGTATAATCGTATTATAATTAACTTGTTTGATAATATTTATCAAAAAAGTTATTATTCGATCGGATAGGCATCAACAAAATAAGAAACGTAGTTGCGCACATTTCAAATTATTTTTACCTGAGCAAAATTATCTACTTTTGACTGCACTTAATATAAAAATACCGGGGAATTACGGAATCCCTTGTGTATTGACTTCATTTCAATGCAGCTTATGGTAATATGAGGCTAATGGTATGTTTACTATCATTGACCGTGGTTTAAAGATTCAGTTTTTTGAAGATATAGTTATTACAATTTATAGATATTATTCTCTTATTTATTAGCATTAGTTATTTTAATTCCATAAAATCATGTAGATATAGAGCCTTGATGTGTTAGTTTTAGACTCGATTTTTGATTAATAAAATGTTTTGTATAATGATGATTTTGTTTATCTAAGTTATTGAAAACGAGTGTTTTAGGTCAGTTTTGATTTTTGGTCAGTTTTGACAGCACACAACATTACACTTTAAGGTCTTGTATGTACTAAATGTTAATTGTCCTGTTTGTTTTATACTGGGTTGTGTTGTGTGTTGGCAAAATAAATACTTTATTATTATTATTATTATTTATTATTATTTTAAGTAGTAAGTAGCTTGGTAGTGGATTAGCAGGGCGGACCGCTATCATAAAACAACTTCCGCAAGGGTTCGTCACGGGATGGGTAACTAAAATATTATTATCTCAGCAGCCGTTCGGGCTGCATTTGCAGTCGTTAATACCCGTGGATGGTCATGATCCATCCTCCTTAACCATTCTTAGGGAAAGCCTGAGCCCCTGCAGTGTGGATTTATATTAATCAATACTAACATTGATTTTTACGTTTTACACATTACTAATATATAATAACCAGTAGCACGCTAGCATGATAAATTCTAGAACATTCTGTTACACCCAAATGTCACTTTTCTCGGGTACGGGTATATCAGTCTCAGTCGTGTCGGTGCCATGACCTTTGATGAACAAAAAGCCTTTCTCGAGTTTGTCACACTATGCGTTCTGTTTATGACGATTCGCCTGCGTGCGGATGTGAACACCTCCGTGTCGTCGGATTAACACGACTCGCGTGCTTCTTTTCAATCGGCGAAGTACGAATAGCCGTCGATTCTGCACTTCTTCTTTTACATATAAGATCGACCCTTATATGAATTGCAGAATGCTAATATTAAAAAAGTTATTTATAAATCTATGTTTGTAACATAATAGAAATAATTCAAAGTGCCGTCCGTTTGCTGTTCACACATTACGATTTTGTGCAAATTGTGCCCGGATTGCGAAAGATCGTGGTTTCGATTCCCATTTCGGTGTACCTTTTCTAAATGATAATTTTAATAATTTTTATGAAAGATATTTAGCATTGTTAATGAGAAGGAGATTAAATATAACCAAAACTGCTAAATTGAGACAGAAAACGTACCCAGTGTGCACGCAACTTGTGCGTCCATAGAGTAAGTAAGAAACTATGGTTCGTATACGGATATATGGATCGCACATTTGTATACGACCATTGCACGATACAGATTAGTATCAAAGTAAGCATAGCATAAGTTTGTAATACGTGGTCCTGTATCTTATATATAAATAAATCTCTGTTGATGAAAACCGCATTAATATCAAATATGTAGTGTAAAGCATAAAGCGTGCAGACAGCAAGCGAACTAGCTTTCCGCCAGCGGTTTCGCCCGCGTGGTGCCTAGGGAACTGTTTATTTGGATATCGATTCAATGACACAATGACAAATTGCAGTGATAGCAAACAAGGGTTACTAGATCGCCATCTTTTATTCATTTCATTTTCATTTTACATGTAAAAATTAATTTATTTACTTGACATTGGCAGAATTGTGCGAATTGCGCAGATACGCCATTAATTAAAAAAGAAGAAGAAGAAGGGTTACTATGGTAACGTTTTAATATACAAACTTCCACTCCCATTTTTTCGGGATATGTTCACCGCATATGATGTAGTTTCCCGTTTGTGAAATAATTTTAAAATCGGTCTAGTAGTTTTGGAGTCTATTCTTTGTGAACAAACAAACAATCAAATCTTTCCTCCTTATAATACTAGTACAAATAAATAAGTTCCTTGATCTATAACGATATATATATGGGATGAACTTGTCGTTGCCTATTTTCTTAATGACTGGCCAAAATAACATATATACTTTATAAAACTTCGGTGAGTGTCAATTTTGATGACAGATAGTAATCATGGAGTACTTAAGAAATTATTAGCGTGCTATTTTTATTTGCTAGTATTTTAAATTTTTGTGTTTCGTATTGAGTACGTAGCACGTAAGGGCAGAAGGAAGTATGAGATGACAACTAGCGCCCTGTTTGTGTGTTGATGTGACATGTTTTGTTTGGTAAGAAGCGATAGTTAATTAAAGAGAAAGGACGAAAATTAAGCAAAGCTTACCTTGTTCAGATCTCAAGTAGTTCTGTGGAAATATTAGAATAAAAACTATATTATCCCGAACCAAAGTCAAACCCGTTACTTGTATGACGCATGAGTCAAAAATTACTTTTTGTACCAACGAATTTTTTTATATCTACTGAACAAACAGATATTTTTGCCACTGATATTATTTTAGATTCATTTAGGTATCTGTATATTGTCTAAGTATTACCTTTTGTAAACAAAGAGTACTGTTATACAATATGAGAACATCAAAGTTACAAAGCCTCTTTTAAATTTCAGATACAACATGTAATGTGGTGTCATGTGAACGGCCTGTATAATTTTGTGATTGATGCTAATGATACGTGAAATATAGGCTGGTTATAAAACTAAGGACCACAGAAAAAGTAGCGCAGTAATGATGCAACGACTAAATGTCTCTGGCACGAGCCGAACCAGTTCTCGTAATTCTTTTTTTGTCAGAAGTGACTTAGATAATTCTTCTGCAAAAACAACTAGAGGACAAGATACCAATACCCGTTGCATTAGTCTAAATAAGTATATACACTACAAAAAATCACGAGAAAGAAATGTACTTGATAAATTAGTTAGAACCAGGGCTGTTGACGATATAAGGAATGAAATATTTTCAAAAAGTAGTGTTCAATGTAAAGCTTTACAATGTAAAAGAAAATTGCAAGATTCGGAAGTATCAAGTAGCACTGAGAAGGATAATGCAGTTTTAGAACTTATAGATTTAATAGATAGAGGACCTCTATTAAAACAAAAAAATAAACGATCATATTGCTCTTGCTCTAGCTGTAGTGCTTTACAAGCACACCATGGCCCAGTCGGACCACGGCGACTAAAACGTGTAAACAATTATCCGTGTTACAGAAAAAATGCGTCTTCAGTATCTAGCACTTTTTCTGGAAAACATGTATGTAAATGTAAAAAGAAAAGCCTGCACCTCAAAGCCAAATCAATAAAATCTGACCCAGGCACATGCACTTCTGAAATAAATGAAAAACAACCTGAGCTTCAAAAACTGATATTAGAACAACCACCAATTTTCACAGACAAGAAGAGTATAAAGAAGAATCCTAAAAAGAAAACAACTGTAAAAAAATCTAAAAATTGCCTAATGCAACTCAATGGTGAAAAAAGAAGAAATGTCAATAAACCGAAAATACCAATCAGAGAAAATATAATAGATTTTCAACAAGAAATCGGTCAACATCTACAACAAACTTGTGATCCATTGCAACAATATAATTTTCAACGACTTAACCAAAAGAACATCAACTTAAAATTTATGAAGCCAGTCTCAAACCTAATTGCTCCATCCAATGACCTATTGATTCATAATCCTGATGGAATTGGCTCTGAAATAGACAGTAGAAGTAATTGGCGAAAATTAAGCTCTGTATTCTGTTTGTCTTTGAAATCTGATTCTGATATTTATTCTAGATGCATTCTGTCTCGAGCTGTCAAGACGTCAAGGAAATTAGAAACATCTACTTCGCAGAATATTCCTATTTCTAAACACGGTGAACTATTTTCGTTAAATCAAGTAGTTCACATTGGCCCTCAAGCTATTAATTTTATTGATAAAAATAAAGAAAATACCATAAGCATTCCAGAAAAGTTTACACGGACGAGAGTAAAAAATACGACAAAAGGAGATAAAAATAACAATAATCAACTAGAAATTAATTCTTGCACTGAAAATTGTAAACAAAACAAGATGAGTAAACATAGTTTGCAAAAATGTTTCTGTAGAACAAAGTTATCCAATGGAAATAAAAAGAAAACTAGTCAGTTGCGATATTACCCAAAACTAAAGCATTCCAAATCAAAGCAGAACAAAACAATAAATGAAAATAATGAGATTTTATCAACAAATTGTAAACCAAAAGTTTGTAATGATAATCATCATGAAAATTTTATAAAAATAAATTGTCGCGACATGACTTCATTATCTTCAGAAATAGACCAAAATTTTACGCGAACAATTTTGAATGTAGGATTAAATAAAGGTCTACAAAAGGAAATTAATAGTCATTTAACAGAAACATCTAACAATATCTTTGCATCTTTTGATAAAAACCATTCATGTTATCCAGATAAAAAAAAAGAGTCGACAACCATGACACCCTCACAAAAAATTTATACACATTCGATTAACAAACAGAAGAAAATCAATACTAAATTAATATCACAAAGCAACCATACTTTGAACGAATATATATCAAAAATATATTTTCCATCCCCGAGAGCGTGTCCGCTTGACTCCAAGTCAAAAATGACTGCAGAGTTTTTAAATGTGCATAATGATGTTATTAGAAAACATCAAAAGGGTTTTCAGCACAGGGTTAATTTAAAACCATTGATAAAAGAAGCAAACAAAACATATGATTGGGAGATCTTACCGCAGAAAGATTCACAAATAAAAAAGCTGCTAAATTATGCACCAACCGTGACGTCATCTTTTGTTAAGCGCTACTTCAACAGTAAACAAGAACAAAATTTTGATAGTAGTCATAAAATGAAATCACAACTAAAACCTATAAAGGGATTGCAAAGATATTTAAGTATGCTGAGAAAAAAAAGCAAAAGCAATAACTTGTCGGTTGTAAAAACTTCTCCTAAAATGGGAAATAACCAACACAATATTAAATTGAAATTGAATACTCGATATCGAAATCCTCATTATCATGCCGAATCTCAATCAAGTGCCTTTTTAATAAGTCAACAAAATTTATTTGAATACGAGAAGTTGATAAAATTACGTGGTGTACAGCACGGCAATGAGACCTTGGTTAAACCGAAAGCTGAAAAAATACAATCATTGAAATTGTTTGATGTTTTGAAACCATCACGTTTGAAATCACAGAACAGTGAAGTGAAACGAAGATATAATAAAATTGGATACAAAAGCAAGAAAAATAACTTTTTAACTCGTCAAACATATCCAAATCAATTTACCAAGCGGATCGTAAGATCGTCAAATAAATCACAATTATATAAAAAAAATAATAATTTCATCGCTAATACTTGTCACGCAGAAGCAAATATCGCACATAGTACTAAAACAAACTACAATAAGTTATGTGAAACTATCATAAAAAAACCAGCATTAAAATCAAAAAACAATTTAAGCCATTCTTTAAAAAGTGCCTCAAGGGTAAATAGATCTTTATATGAAGACACCATATACACGGTCTTGCCAGTTCTGTTGCCATATGAGTGTGAACCTGGAATATGTGTGCCTGGTCAGTGTGATCCTCTCGAGTGTTATGAGAGAATAAAAAAAAGGCAAATCGGTAAGTCAGCAGGAACTGATAGACCGATTCGTTACACAACCGGTAGTTCAGCCTCAGGTCCTATATACAAAGCAACCAAAAGTCAAGCGGTAACTGAATTTCCACCCAGAAAAAGTCGAGGCATTACACGGACTAGACGAGATACGACTATTCATGAGCCCAGAAAAGTTCCCGAGCCCAGGATAGTTCACGAGCCCAGGAGAGTTCACGAGCCAAAGAGAGTCCATGAGCCCAAAAGAGTTGGGTACGCAAGAGATGATTCTCACTCTTTGGTAAAGGTAGGATCTTCGATTAGTTTTAATATTGAATTTTACAAAAGTACTGGTGGATCGCCCAATATACCGTACGAAGAACCTATAGTATATGAAGAATACAAACCAAAAGTCAAAGTATGTAGTACTGATTGCAGACCTAGTAGACAACATAGGAAAATAAGCATGCCTAAAACACCTTACCGACATTATAGAACGCAAACGGGGGTGACAGATACAAAGGGCACAGTTGTAAGACGATTAAAAAAAAGCCTGGCAACAGTAGCATTACAGAAAAATGAACAACTAAGTAAATGTTGCGATATATGTTTTGAAGAAAAATTACCTATCAGGAAAGAAATTGCTATTTCTAAAGATGAAACTTTACCGTTACACAAAGAAATTGCTGTATCTACTCGACGACATATTCCATTTGACGAAGGAATAAGAGTCCGTCAAATTAAAGATATAGGAACAAAGCCGGTAGGTCCTATATATATGTGTGCATCAAATATGGCTTGCATGGAACCAGAGTACAGAAGCAAAGGTGTCGAACCAATTACGTATGCACCTCGAAAGGAAATTGCTGTTGAAACAATGAGACCTCCGATACGCCGTAGTTTTTTACCAAAAGGATTAGTTCGCTTTGGTTCTAATGTTTCTTTCAATGTTGAATTTTACAAAGAAAAATTTGGAGATACTGAGGCCTGTGTGCCTAAATGTGTAGAGGGAAAAGGCGTGTCTGCGGTTCAACCTATTAAATATGTACACAAGCCACCAGTAGTAAGAAAAGCTGTAGCTACTATTGAGCCTGTTAAAAGAAATGCTACAATAAGAGCTTTGCCGCAAGTTCAGAGTCGTCATACATATGCTAAAAGTGTTGCCGGTTACAGCCAACATTGTCAAGCCGAATGCACTGCCACAACAGGAATAGGAACTGGAACTACGATGGGAACATTTCTAAAAAGATGCTTCTGTACTATTAACTTTCCCAAAAAATGGAAGATGAGTCAAACACCTGAGCATACCGTAATAGAATCTAGACCAAGTTATAATAATAAATATGTTCCCACCAAGACATGCGACTTAAATACCTGTGAGAGTATGAAAACCCAAGTGGACAATGTTAGAATGAAAAATAAAGCTTCGCATGTAAACAATGTTTTGAAGAGATGTTTCTGTACATTAAAATTTTTCAAAAATGAATCTCGGGTTCTCAAATCTCCGAATAAAGTACTAACTGTAAATAGGGTTTCAGTCGAAAATAATTGGTATAGTACTTCTTCAAAAGCAAAACATTTAAAAATCAATTCATCGGTACTTATCAGACGTCTTGGTAAAACAGGTAATGACACTTTAAATAATAATAAAAAATACATAAAAACCAACGCAAATTATTCAAACAATGAACTGGATTTCAGATGTCCAATTAACGCAAAAAGTATTATCAGTACAGAAAAAGTATCTTCAACATACAAAAGATGTAACGTACCAAGCAAGATATTAATAACACGTAATAACAGATTCCAATCGAAAAAAAAGACCCCGAATTCTAGCAAACATCAATTAACAAATCTTAATAAACCTTACCACGAACAAACTTGTAAAAAAACTTTGAACTTAATCAATAAATCTAAATCTGAGATATCATCTAAAAATAATAAAAGTATTAATTTAAATAATAATAATTATATAAAAAGGTTCTTACGAATCTTTAACTATCGTCATAATATAAAAAAACGCGAAACATCGCAACATAAATTGTTAGCACCACATAAAACTACAAAATTTAACCATATTGTTAAATATTCAAAAAGCGATCGTCATACAAATTTTAATTTGCCGAATTTCCAAAAAATTTCATCAAGCGCAAAAGACATTAGACTCTGGAGCAAAAAAGGAAAACGTCAAGAAAAAATAACCCAGGAAAAGGAAAAAATAACTAATGTATATTGTAATGACAACTGTCGAGAAAATTCTTTACATTTTGACGGTGATAAACCTAAATGTATTCATAATCAATTTAATTATCCACAATATTCTTTTGATGAAAAAGTGGTACAGATGGCCTTTACTTATCCAGCCACAGATACCAAACGAAATATAGTACCAAGAGAATCTTATAAAAATGCTAAATCTTATTGTCCTTGCCCGTATAAAAGGAATGAAGACAAAACTTCATATCCGGATGACAAATTGACGGCAATGCCTGAAGACAAGATAAAAGGAGAGGGTGCCAAAAAAGGTAAGAAAGAAAAGGGTTCACGTACACAAGAAAAAGACAAAGATAATGAAGAGGTAAGGGGTAAAGAAGCACACAAAGTAAAGGCAACAAATAATAAGAAAAAAATAAAGGGTAAAGATAAAGAAGCAGTTAAAGATAAGCAAGTGGGAACGGATAAAAAAGTGGGCAAAGACAAAGCAACAAGCAATAGGAAAAAATCAAAGGGCAAAAATAAAGAAATAGGCAAAAATATCGAAGATGACATAAAAGAAAAAAATACCAAATCTAAAATAGAAAAAGGCAAAAATAAAAAAATAAAATTAAGGGAAAATGACTACAACATACAAGAAAATCAGTATATAATAAGTCCATGTAAAGGAATTTGTCAAAATAAAGATCTGATTGAAGGTAAAGAAGCGAGCAAAGGAAAACAAATAAGCAAAGGTAAAGAAGCAAGCAAAGGTATGGAAGATAACAAAGGCCAAGGTACAATCTTTTGTTTTTGTAGAAAAGGAAAGGCTAAAGATAAATACGCTGGCAAAGATATAGATACTATCGAAGATGTAGAAGTAGGCAGATGTGAAGAAAGTTGTAAAGGCAAAATTAAACGTAAAAAAGAAAAAGTCAAAGGTAGAGATGCTGGCAAAGATAAAGACACTGGCAAAGACACAGATACTGACGAAGATGACACTGGCAAAGATAAAGATACTAGCAAAAAAAGAAAAGGGAAAGATAAAGGTAAAGGTGATGGCAAAGACACTGGCGAAGATATAGATACTGGCGAAGATACAGATACTGGCGAAGACACAGATAATGGTGAAGATACAGATACTGGCGAAAATATAAACACTGACAAAGGTAAAGAAGCTCGCAAAGGTAGAAATGGAAAAGTTAAAAGTAAAGGCGCTAGCATAGATAGAAATGGAAAAGTTAAAAGTAAAGGCGCTAGTATAGATAGAAATGGAAAAGTTAAAAGTAAAGGCGCTAGCAAAGATAAAGAAACAAGCAAAGGCAAAAACAAAGGCAAAACAGGCAATGGTAAAACTACGGGCTCGAGGGCTGGCAAAAAGGCTAAGATAAAGAAAAGCAAAGCCTGCACTTGTGGGAGTAAAGTATGTCGTAAAGAATTTAAGAGATTATCTCAGGTGAAAGCTCACAAGAAAAAGCCACCGTGTCCTTGTAAAACTTCTATTTGTGCCCACGAGTCTAGTATCAGAAGAATACCAGGCCACATTTGCCGATGTGAAATGTCCGCTGCAGAGCTAAAACGAAAAGAGCAACGAGAGCAAAAAATGAGAGAACAAGAAGCTATATGTGAAGCTAAAAGACGCAAGGCGGAAAAACAATCTGAAGATAAACGTATAGAGAGTAAACAAAAGAAAGCTGCAAGAAAGAAAGCAGGTAAAAAATTAGATAAGGCGCAGGCAAAACAATTCAAAAAAAAGGGTGATGCTGTGCTAGTGGCGGAATCAATATTAGATATCGTTAAATCGACTGCTGGTGTTGGTACCAGTGCTGTGAAAGGTACTCTGGACGCTATATTTAATCCAAAATGTACATATTACTCAATAAGACGTGCATTTAGAAGCCCTGATAAAACTGTTACTGGGCTTCAAGGTGCTTTAGGTAGGAGTGAATTCGCATCAGCCACGAGACGAATAAAAAATAGAGTAACTGCGATGGAATCCGTACAAAGCCTCAAAGAGAAAATAGAGAGTAGTATGTTAATGGATTTAGTAGATCCAAGTCTGAAAAAGAAACGTTTGAGAAAGAAAAAACCGCGTAAACGAGAACCTCATGATTTTGAGTGTAGTCTTTACATGTCATCATTGAGGAAAAGACCATGTTTGCTTATTTATTATACCTGCCCCTGGTTCTACCCGAAATTTATCAGTTTGCTCAACGCGTGGCGTCAATGTGTGGACATTTTCCTATTTTTATTGGCAGTGGGAGTCTGGAGTCCATTTATCGTGGCGATGGAAACATGTAGAGCGTTGATGTGCTGCTTTTTCTGTACCGGTTAAAAGAAATGAAAGAAATTATAAGGATAGTATAAATGAAGAAATTGAACTAATTGTGGTTTACAAAACATAAGTAAAAAATTGATAAACGTTTTACTCTTTGTACAGCTGTAGTTTTCTTTATATACGTTACTGACTAACATATATGTATGTATTATACGTATAAACATTCTTCTTGAATTACCCTGTATACACGGCTGCATATCAGGTTATCACAATGTTTCGATTTTCCTCAATTGACCTACAACGCTTTAAAGTTTAAAATCAAGTGGAAAAATTTGACAGCTATTTATACTGTACATACATTGGTGAAAACTGCAATAAAATCCTTTGTATATTTCAAAAGATTTCAGCGCATAGCGGAAAGCAACTTCATTTTATACGATGTTTAGATAACTACCGGTGCATTAAATTCATAAAACAAAATAATAGCAGTGTACATAGTACATAATTTTCTTTAATCTAATACTAGACTGTAACTCAATGCGTTTCAGAATGTGTTGAAAGCTTGCACCAGGAGTATCGAGGCAAAAAAAAATATTTTTATCAATGAATTATTATAATGACAACATTTAGCTAAGATTTGTTATTCAACAATAAATAATTTATACGTTTCTTAGTTTTTTAAAAATTAATTGACGACCCTGTACGTTAGAATTTCGGTCCTTAAAATACTTTATCAGTCGTCATCCTCAACAACTTCGAAAAATGCAGTTTTAAAAATCTTTAGATGATTTTAGTTTATATCAAAACCTAGTTTTTTATATATTATTTATACAGTTAAGATAACATATATTAGTCGTAAAATCGATCCAAAAAACCTATTTAGAGTCATGTGTGAATTTTTTTTCTATCGAGTCAATTATAAAATCTGTTTTTAGCAAACATTCGATCATACGAGTATGTTAAAGTCTCATAAAATATTGGCATAGTCCTAGAATACATTTGTATAAAAAGTGGTAATTTCGTACAATCTCGCTTTAAATTGATTCGAGCCTAGATTTATACTCGTCAATTAAAATCCTATCAAAATAATAATATATTCAGAAATACACAATTCTTGCAACGCAATACTTCTGCCGAAAAAACGTTATGAAATCAACGTAAACCAAGTCGATTAATTTAGCATCTATCTTTCTCTGAGAGTAGCTATCCAACCTTTCATAGATTTAAGAATACTTGCTACTCCTAAAGTTTCTAAAACCTATGCGTTTGATATTTAAGCTTCTAGTTTACTCCACAAGGAAGTTACAGAGGGTCAAAAATGGCCCGAATGGCTTCGAAAAAAGGATGGTACGACCATGCCCTTTTTAATTTTTTTGACTTGGCGGAGGCACTTCCGTGCCTCCAGATAATTATAGTAATGATAACACTTTCGACGATGTGTTTTTTGCTCTTTAATGCGTACAGTAGGGATGACGACTGGGTAAAAAAAAAAGAAATTCCATTTAGTCCGTCACAGTTTTGTAGAAAATTTACAAAAGCGTGACATCATGCGACATTTCAACTCAGTGTATCACCATTATTATATTCATTTGTACCTCCGAGGGTAGTATCATATCACTCTTCTTTTCTGCTTTTATTAATAGTCTTTTATTAATAGGCTTATCTACAATTCTGCCAATTTCAAGTAAATCAATTTAAATAATTTCTACGTGTAAAAATGACAATGAAATCTTCGATCAACAATACGACAGTGAAATGGATGAAAGATGGCCCATAGCTTATCAAAGCCCATACTCTGCCCATAGCACTCAAGTAACTCAAGAATCAGAAAGATCTTGAATCATAGACACTTCTCATCATAATTAGAACTGTCATAGATTTCCGATTATTACCATCTTCTTTAATTAAAATTAAAAAAGAAGAAGAGATTGGGCCTTCTTGGTTAAGAACCAAGAACTTAGTAAAGATACATTTAAAGATTTCCTAACTTCTTAGCCCTCTGACCTTCTTTTTTCTTCTTTTTTTTAAATTAATGGCTTATCTGCGCCTTTCGCACAATTCTGCCAATGTCAAGTAAATAAATTAATTTTTACATGTAAAATGAAAATGAAATTAATGAAAGATGGCGATGATTATGATTAGACTACCCTCTGACCTGTATACTTTACTCTTTGACCCTGACAGTGTCGAAATTTTGATATTTCGATATGTATGCATATTTTTTTACGCTATCGTAAATTACAAGTAATTTGTAATATTAAATATAATACTATTTGGAAGAATAAACTTGGTGATGAAATAACTCGTATCACGTAATTTGTTTAATTAATTTAGGTAAATGATAATTTTTATTTGGCAAGTACGTGTAGCTATTTTGAGAAAGCTTTTTTAAGTCGTAAAATATACAATAAGATATTATTATTAACGATTGATTGGCTCTATATTTTTGTAAATAAGTTAGTATAGATATCACAGACAGTAGTATATTTTATTTATGATACTTGTTGATTCTCGTAGTTTCTACCTGGTACAGATACCATAAACAGTTTTGTTTCTGAAACTGACATATTTTTTCAGGTATAATATACACAAAATATTATGATAATATATACATTCAATAAAATTGATGGTCTCTCAAGCTTCAAAATAAAGTAAAACAACAAATATGCATCATATAAACTGCCAGCAGATTGCCAATACAAGCGACAGTTGCTTTTGTGCGACATGTTGTTGTAAAATTGATTCATACTATCCTTTCCGAACGATAAGACACGACTCCGATACTGATGGAATACAATTTATGAAACCTGTTACATTTCGAGAAAAAAAACTACTTGACAAATTGACAAATACAAGTGCACTTGGCGAGTTCATAAAACAACCTTTATCGAAAAGCAGCATTAGCGTTTGTGCTCAATGCGTAGCTAATTCTAATAGGAAAAGAAATCCCAAGACTACTAAGAGAATAAATCGCGGAGTTAAACACGCATACAAACACGTTAGAGAACAAAATAGCCTCCTGAACAAAATTGACTGTACACCAAACGTTATGTCAGGCCGTAGCTTTGCAGCCAAACCTATAAAATCTGAACCATGTACTTGTACTGTCCAGATCAAAAGCAATTTGAAACGATACCAACAAGGAATCGATAAAAATGTATGCTTTAAACATTCTAAGCCATTATTGCAGGAGTTGATTGATGTTCCTACACCTGAAAATAACATAGTATGTAAGGGTGAAAGAACTAAAGAAACCAAAAGATGTAACACGCTACTCAAAAGCCAAGTAAGAACTGGTGGAATCCAGGTTAAGATTAATGCTGATTTCAAAAAGAAAGGTGACGAACATCTTATAGAAATTAAAGAAACACATCAAAATTTCATACCTTATTATACCCATAAATGTAGGAACAAAAATCCCAAAGAAAATATTACAAATATGGTTCCAACATTGACTAAAATAAATATATATGCTAAAGCCCAGCAAAGAAAAAAAACTTATCCTGAAAACATCAGCGAAACCATACTATATCATGCAAATAAAAATCGAATTAATAAAAACATGAAGATAATAGGCTCTGACGTCGACGTTAAAAAATGTGTTTATCGAACTGTAATTAGTTCTTCACTTTCAATGTTATCCACAAAAGGAGTAAATAGCGAAGGCACATCAATTCTCCATCGGAGAAATTTGCAATCGATAGCAAGAAAAACTGGAAGAGAACTTAAAAAACATCGAATAAATACTAAAGAAAAATCACTAGATTTGAATACGAACACTATCGAACCCGTTTCGAGACTTTTGAAACCTCCTTCTAGCTTGACTTTACAATCAATTTCTAATATGACTGAGATCGAAATGCGATATAAAAATAAAATGGCAATACAGTCACAATTAAATTTTATTGTACGAAATAAAAATAAAAAACAAACAGATCATATTCAGGCAACTTCTTGTGAATATTTACATCGCATTCACAGTAGAGAAACAATAACTTCTTATATTACAAAGCAGCTTACTGGAAAAACTATAAATAATGATAAATGTAGTCAACAGAGCGCGAGAAAGCATTATTGTAAATTTCACAACACAATCCCAAAAAATAATCCAAAATCCATAAATGGGCAACTGAAACAAAATTCCTCAAATTACAAGAGCGTAAGTCAAAATCTTAAATCAACAATTAGTTTCACTTCAAAAACTAATAAAATACAAAATGTACTACTACAAGAACATAATCATAAAAACAGGTCTGACAAAAAAAATAATGCGTGCAATATTAAGATTTGCCTAAATAATAAAAAGATCGATGGTTCTCTTACAAAAACAAATAGAGATTTAGATTTTCATCATGATTTCAAAACCGTACAAAGGAAACCGTCTCTTGATGACAAAGGCACTGCAAAAGCAAAAAATTGTCTTTGCTATTTCACAAATAACCCTTTTGTAGCACATATTGAAACAAAAACGATCAATCATAATAAATATAAAATACAAAGTTGCAGAAAAGGAATAAATTTTAATGCAGAAAGAAAAATATCTTCTATTGATTTAGTACCACAAAATTTTAACAATGATAAATATGTCAAAAATAAGTCCATAATAGCAAAAAGAATTTCATTTACTAAAAAAACAATGTCTGATCCATATTTTATTGAAAATAATGAATTAAAGACATCTATACAAAGATGTTGTAAATCAATGCAGTGCACTGTTTATTCGTCGGTAAGAAGTCAAGAAGAACTAAGAATTAAACCGTTAATGCAAACGTATTATTGCGGTTCAAATAACACGAAGACACAGACAAATAACTTGGATATGCTGCACAAAGAAATAAAAGCACATTCTCACACCTCAAAGAGTTTTATTCAGAATAAGACACGTGACATACAAAGCTATACTAAAAAATCAATTCCCTCCAATAAATCTGTGAAGAGTGTACATTGGTATTCAGAAAGATATAAATTAAGAAATAAACTTCAAGATTTACAAAACTACTTACCGGGAAGTGAAAGTTCGGTAAAAATTCTGTCGAACTCTCCAGTATCACTTATATCGAGAAACGCTATATCACCAACAAACAATGAACGATACTTGAAATTAGTAGCGAAAAAAAATTCCAACAAAAATTTATCATCTCAAGATGTTTTTGGAATGGACATTCAATATGAGGACTTATCTACATATAGAACTAATGATAAGAAACAACAGTACCCCAAATATAAGAGCGTTGAAGCAAAATCATCAATAACCTCTGCTACTACAAACAGTAAAAGAATAAGTCCAAATTTTAGTTGTACTTCATTACTTTCCTATGCGTCTAAGATGACGGCTTCTATTAAGAGATGTTGCCGTACAAAACCGCATTGTATGAAACAACGATGTGAGGGTACAAAAAAAGAAAAGTCGAGCCGCCTAATATTTTTAGTTAAAAAATATTTGAGAAGATTTAAATTTAATAATGTGAGTAAGCTACCAACTCAAAATAACTATTCATTAAAAAATTCGCGAATAAAAATATGCAAAGATCAATCACAAAACAATAAGTTTAAAATGTCTTATACATCTACGAAAAAAATAATACCAAAGCTAACGAAATATGATATTAAATCCGCTTACATAAACAAGAACCAAGTAATGAAGAATAAAAAATTTTATTATCCCCAAACATCAAAACATGTGGTTATAGAACAAAAAAAGCAGCCAATATGCAGAGACATTGTCTTTGATTGCCATACAAAAAATTATGATGATAAATATACAAGCCCTGGCAAAAGGTTAATTAGCACCAGACCATCAAAACTCGCAAAACCAAAAACTTCAACTAAAAATAAAAGTGCATGTGTGCAGAACATATATTTTGTTAATATACCTTATCGAAAACCTGGTACAGATAAGTTAAATGTTTTTCCTTCAGAAGACTCAGCGCTTAATCAACAAAATAAATCAGTTAAATGTCCAGCTACGTGTCCAAGAATGAAAAATCAAAATAAAAGAAAATATATTCAAAGTCCTGTTATTTTGGAACCAAAGTGTGTAGTAAGTACATATAATATGTTTAATCGAGTAAATACACAAACAGGGAGATATACACAGAATACAGTAAAGTCTTACCCGCGTAAACATAGTCACCAGTCGCCTCGACATGTTTCTGAATGCCAAAATTCACCCTTTGAACGCTTCTTAAGTCCATTTAGGACAAAAAAAACAAATGAAATAACAAAAGAAGAAAAAAATAAAGCGAATCGTTCTAGAAAATTAGAAAAGAATGTTTTTAAAAATATTGTTGAATCATGCAAACAAAAAGATTCTCGTACTGAGATGCAGACCATATATCCGTACATACCAAGTAAATTTCAAAAAAATATGAGCAAAACTGAGCCTGATTCTAATGTTAAATTAACGAAACGGTCAATCAGTACCACCTTTTCGAATAAAGACAGTCATGGTAAACATATCCAAGAACAACGTAATAAAAATATAGAACCACTCAAAACCTCGAAACATATTCACAAATATGCGACAAAAAGTGACTCATACATAGACAAAACCCCCACTAAAAGTCGTAATTTAAAATCACTAGTGATAAATTTAAGTAATTTTATGTTTTCCAATTCAAAAAATAAAAAACTTCTATCAAATATCAATACAAAAAAATATCATGGACAATTTAATACACCGATTGGACATCAGACGGATATTAATATTATTAAACACTCTAAGAGTGATCAACCGTCTAATTTATTCTTCATGGATGCCTTTAAAACATCAAAAAGTGTAAGAAATACTAATGTGTCTACAAGAGGAAACATAGGTCGTGAAAATGATGCAAAACAATATAACTCGTCCCAATATAGAGATGCTGCTGTTAGACAAACATATACCAAGAGCGAGTCTGCATCCAATTTTAAGAAGTTGAATCGCCCAAATAAAAAAGATTTTTTGAAGAATCGACATAATAATAATAAATATTTTTACAATCAATTTAATAAAAGTACAAAAAAACTTAAAATATCGGAAAATGATCACAAATATGGGACTAAAAGCGAATCTAACATACATAAACTAGACAATAAAAATAATGTTTTAAAATCGTTTATGTCCAGTTTAAGTAACCTCATGTTTTCTTATCCGAAAAATAAAAAATCTTTACCAAAACTAAGTACCAGTACACAAAATTATCGAAGATGGTTTAATAAACATCAGAAAGATGTCCATATCATAAAAAATTCAAAAAGTGAACAACCATCTAATTTGAAAGATGATTCAAAAATACCAAAACGTTTAAGAAACACAAATGTTTCTACAGGAACAAAAGTTGCTTATCAAAACAACAAAGAAAAATATAAAATAGCTCACAATCAATATGAGGATACTGCTGTTAGACATTTGCACCCAACGAATAAACACAAACAAAAATATATGACTGGTTTGAAAACAACTGACTCACAACTTCAGTTCATAGATTTTAGTAGGAAAAAAAACGTACCTTATATGCATCATCATGTTGTTCAAATAGCAGCGAATAAATCTTCAGTAAATAGGGGTGCTAAAAGTAGAAAAACATATAAAAAGGAAAAACAAATAAATACTAATTATGGAGTTCGTAACAAAGGGATCCAAATACAAATACATACAAATCCATCAAAAAATGTTAAAATGACCAACACTGTTTCGAATGATAAAAAAGCCATTGATTTTTTGAAATCAATATGTCACAAAAAAAAGCGAGGTAAAAGTAAGGGATGTTTTTTTAAGAGTCAAAATATCGACAAGATATGTACGACAAAGGAAAATAAAGGCAGAAATAAGGGCTGTATTGCTAAATACTCAAGTGATTATAGAAGATATAGAGAGGACAAATTAGGCAAATCAATATGTAAGAGGTCGGAGAAATATTGTAAACCTGTTCCATATGAAGACATGAAGTGTATATCAACATGTAAAAAAAATATCTGTGGATGGAGACGTGAAAAAAATAATTTAAAAACAACTAATGTCGGCAATAATATATCTCATAAACTGAGAAATATTTCAAGCGGTGACGCAACCGCTGATAAAAACCAAACTATATCAAATACAGGAAAAAGGAATACCGGTGACATAGGAACTTTAAAAATGTCTAAATGGTTTAAATCAAATGATGTTCATAAAGAAAATCATGGAGCCAAACTGAAAAAAAGCAAACAAAGTAAGTATACTGTGGATACTCAGCGAAGTAGACAAATTTCAATGAAGAAAAAATTAGATCAAACTCAGTTACTAAATCACAAGAAAAAAGGTGTCGACAGCAATATACGTACTAAACAAAGGATTCTTTCGAGCAGTGATGCAACCATAAATAGATTCCAAACTGTAAACGAAGCAATAGGAAAGAACTCCAACCAACGAATAAAACTAATGTCTAGTAAGAATGATAAGGAACTGGAAAAAAAACAGTTATTGAATCACAAGACAAAAAGTATTGGAAGTTATATACTATCTAAACAAAGGCTTCTTTCAAGCGGTGATGCGACTATTGATAAAATCCAAATTATAGACAAACCAAGAAAAAGAAATGCTAGTCAACAAAGGAACCGATCATCTGGTAATAAAGAGAAGCTACTGAATAAAAACCAATTCCCATATTACAAAAAGAGAAGTGTTGGCACTAATATGCGCTCTAAACAAAAAGAAATTTGGAGGGGTGACGCAACATTTAATGAAATCCAAACCGTTAATAAAGTAAGAAAAAGAAACACCAATAACTTAACAACTTCAACTATTCCCAAACGGGTTAAATCAAATAAAATGATTTGTATTGAGAAACTACTAAAAATCGAAGCCCTTCGCCATCTGAAAAGAATGAAACAACATAAGGGTACTACGACTAACCAACGCAGGCGACATATTTCAATGAAGGCTGAAAAAGAACTGAATGAAAAGCAATTACTAAAATACAAGAAGAAAGCTGTTGGTTTTAATGTACGCATTAAACAAAAAAATCAAACGTGCGGTGACTCAAAAAATAAAAATGCTAATCACCTAACAGCTGTTATAAATTCTCTTTGTCAGGATTCTATTTGTTTTAAAGAATTGAAAAAGTTAAAAGACGCAAGATTGAAAACTCCAGTTAATGTTTGTGATTGCAATAAAGCTATGATAGATCGAATTAGAAAAGTTCGTAATGAGAAACTAATGAAAAAACAAGAAGCACTCTGCGATGCGAAAAGAAAACGACAATATAAGAACGCTATAACTTATTCACGACGAAAAGAAATTGAAAAGAAGAAGCAGATGAAACTGGATAAAAAGCAGTTACGAGAGTATAAGAAGTACAGTGATACATTATTGCTAGGTGAATCAGTATTAGACGCTGCAAAATTGGGTATTAGTGCCGGAAAAACTGTGACCAAATCAGTAACAACAGCTTTTCAGGATCCTGAGTGTGCATATTACAATCTAAGAAGAGCGTTCAGACATCCTACTCATACTCTGCGTGAAATAAAATCCGGAATTAGTAAAAGCGAACTGTTTCCTACTGCTAGAAGAATAAAAAATAGGGTAAGAACTATGAAAGTATTCAAGGATATCAAATTGAAATTGGAGAGCCATCCAATTACATATTTTTTACTTCATATATTTGATGCCAAAAAGCGTGTTCAATTTAAAGGTAGAAGAAAACGGAGACGCCAGAATTTGCAGCCTAACGCATTCGTTTCCACTCTACGGAAAAAACGTTGTTTATATGTATACTACAGATGTCCGTGGTTTTATCCTCAGTGTATTAGTTTATTACATTGTGGGAGAGAGATGGTTAACATTTTGCTCTTTTTATTGGCTATATGTGTTTGGAGTCCATGTATATTAGGTTTTGAATTATGTAAGGCAATGTTTTGCTGCCTATTGTGTCATTGACAATAAACACAATAAAATATATATTCAGATTTTGCGTTAGTTATCCTGATAATGTAAATGTGAAAATGTGATTGTTTGTCCGTCCGTCAAAACGTAGCAACGGATTGGTGCGATTTTTTGTGTGGAGATAGTGGAAGGACTGGGGAGTGACATAGGCTACTTTTGTGTCTTTCTATTCTACCACCCCACTAAAAGAAGATACAAAGGTTTGTGTATCGCATTCCACAATTTACAAGGGAGGATGTCAATACTGTGCATTATATGGTTTTTGAAAACTCTTTACCTTAAAAGAATGGATAAAATTTTGCACTGGACTTTCCGCAGTGTTAATAGAATACCATTAATTGGTATGCGGTATTTTTTGAAATCTGCCCCCAACCCAAAAGAGGGGGTGATGTTTGTACGGGACTTTTTGTTACAAACGAAAAATGCATCATGATTTTTTAAAAATCTTCCCCAAACCCCCAAAAAATGGGAAGGGAAATAAATGAAATCTAAATAAAAAATATTAATAAACGTTTTGAGAAAAAAATCAACAATAAAAGATAAGAAGAATCGTTACCCACGACCGCCGATAGTCGGCGCTACTAGTTTTTTAAAAATATTTATTTTACGGTTTTTAGAAATACTTATCAAAGTAACCCGCGGACGAAGACGCGGGCAAAAGCTAGTTGTCTTAATAGCCGTTCTAGTACATTCATAAATAACAAAGGCTCCATAAATATATGTATAGCCTCAATAGAGATGTTTGATTCTCTTAAATTGTGAAGTAACGCACATAAGTAGTTTGAGGATTTGGAAGATGACTGTTCAATAAAACTCAATCAAAATATGAAAAAAAAAACAGGCCAATTGCGAGCCACCCAGAAAATGGTCCCGTAACGAAAACGACAAAAAAATCACGTTTTTTGTATGGGAGTTCCCTCAAATATTGATTTTATACTGGTTTTTAATTATTTGTTGTTGAAGCGGCAACAGAAATATATCACCTGGGAAAATTTCTTCTTCTTTTATTAATGGCTTATCTGTGCATTTCACACAATTCTGCCAATGTCAAGTGAATAAGTTAATTTCTACATGTAAAATGAAGATGAAATGAATCAACTGTCTAACTTTCACGATGCGTATTGACAGATAGACAGACACAGCGAAATCATCAATACTATTTTACAAAGGGTAAAATAGTAATTGAGTTCCTGTTTTACCCTTTGGGTGCGGAACCCTAAAAAATAAATATAACTCCTTGTGAACGTAGCTCAATTAAAAACTTACGACTTTTCAAGCTTGTCGCTTGAAAAAACTACATATTATTCAGATTTTGCAAAAATCCTATTAATATTATAAATGTGAAAGTGTTTTTTTTTAATGTTTGTCCGTCAATCACGCCGAAACTACTGAACGGATTTTCATGAAATTTATTATACGGATAGGGTATTAGCTGATTTAGATAATAGGATACTTTTTATCCCACTAAACATTTCTTAAGGGACCACGCGGGTGAAGCCGCTGGCGAAAGCTAGTGTTTAATAAATTTAGGATAGGATTACAAGGCAATTTGAATCAATCCAACCACTCATACCGCGACTCAAACGCCACCGTTAAAGTGTTGTATCAGACTAAGGATAAGGTAATATTGACGGATATATGTTTGATCCGATCGATTGAGTAAACTTTTCTGGCTTCCTCAACCTTTGATAAAGCTACAAGCTTCACTAAAGTCTCGAGACAAAAAGCTTCGAGTTCCTTGAATCATTTAGAAACGTCATCCCGGATTATTTCAATGTAGCTTTGCTTTTCTTTTCAATACGTTGCAGAATCATTTTTCTATACTTCTCTTTCTATACATATTATAAAAGGGAAGATTTTATTGTTTGTTTGTTTGCATCGAATAGGTAACGAAACTACTGGACCGATTTAAAAAAATGTTTCAATTACGCGAAGCTACGAGTATATCATATGTGAGTATAGGCTATATTATTTATCGAAAAACAGCATATGAAGGGATGAAAATGTGTGGGGAAGTTTGTATATGGAATTAAAATGTTACCATAGTAACCTTTGGTATTTTTCAATTTGTCATTGTAATTATAACCGTGTCACGATATGAATCGATATCCAAATAAACAGTTCCCTTTGGACCACGCGAGCGAATCCGCTGGCGGAAAGCTAAGCTAGTATTTAATAAGCGACATTACCGATACAAACTTTAAAATTTCGAACATAAGAATGATTTAATTAAGTAACCAAGTAGTTGTTACTGAAGTATTTCAGTATCCGAAACAGCATATAAAATTATTTTTAAAGAGTTTTAAAGCGTTCATACTTCTGCGGTTTTGTTAGGTTTTTTTACATTTTATACTTTTTGAATCCTTTATATCTGTGTCGTTTACATTAGAACTCTTTTAGAATATAATTACACTATTTTATGTATTGCGCAGCGTGTGGTGAAATAAGTTTTTTTTTATATCAATTGCATAACAATGTTATATAACACACTCGTCATAATATTTATACTTGGTTTTGATGGTCAGTAGTTTATGTAGGTAAATATTATTAGCAAATGTTATTTTTTCGCTAGCATCAAAATTTAATGTTCTACTCCTTCATCTAATAGTAAATGTCCGTTATCAACCGAAAGTTCGACTAAACAAAAGAGAGCAGTATCGACCAAATCCTTAAAAGTGAGAGGGTGTGCGTAGCTGCCACCCTTTATGACTCAGAGGGGAGGACCCTACATATCCCTCCAGATATCGCAGTGCCCCCGGTGTTGCATGCTATGGGCTGCAACCGTATCGATCTGGGAATTTTCGAACACAACTGTGATGCTCTTGACCCATCGTTTTGTAGTATAACTCGTACGAATTAACATGACACCCGAGGCCCTATTCTATTTTTCCACGAACGAAAGTTCGGAAAATTTCGTTAAGTTCTTATAATTTCAATAAAATAATATCCGTGCAGATTGGTGTCTTTGCATTAGAGGCAATCCCAGTCCGTTACATCATAAATTATCGATAAATGCGTTTCTTTGGAGTCTTATTAGCATTTCGAAAATAGACGAAATTTCGTTTTCGGAGAAATGGAATAATCCTTCAAGTTGTTATACTTTATGTTAGTTAGTAGGTGTAGTCATTAAAATTTTAGTGTTCCCATTTTTGATTAGAATTTTATATTGTAAGTAATACCTTCACTACTAAGTCAGGACCTTAGTACCTATTAACTGAATATTAAACCATGTTATCGACGACGACGGCTATAATTTTTTTTAAATTTTGTGCCATCAAAATTAACATTATCTAACCTGACCAACAGATAATAAATGTACACACGGCTGCACGTCAGACTATACATTATGGACTTTGTGCTGACACTTCGTATAGAACTTCACTAACAGAGGTCTGCTTACCGTGGTGGTGTGTAGCGTGACGTGCGCCCGTGTGTACATCAAATTATTTGTTTTGTGGCTTCAGTAATTATTATTAGTGCTAGAAATATTGTTATTATTCCATTTATTTTACGATTTGACATTGAATGTACTTTAAAAATTAAATAATAGTATTTATATCAATACCATTAATTTTGGCCGAAGTCAAATAATATAATAAACCTTTTTGACTCAACACATAAATTCAATGCTTAAGTTGCGTGAATTTTGTTATCTGTGTACAGTTATATTTTTTAGAAATTCCGTTATAAAAACCGGTTCCAATGTGTTCATAAGATGGTACTGATTAATTTTTATAGTTTCCTTGCTTTGAGATATTGCGATAGATAATTTTAATTGAATTTTTATTAGACGAGGTCAGTTACCCCACTAGCATTAACATAAAGTTCTTAAAATTTCTATATCCTTATATTATAAATCTGTGGCTGTTTTAGAAACATGTCATCGTATCAGCAATTCGGTTTAACCAATAAACTGTCCTTTAACGGAGCTTAAGCCTAAGAAAGGCTCACCTTAAAGGCTCAAGTTTCATAAACAGTTTAATAAAAGTAAGGAAGCTTTATCTTGACTTGAAACTTTACATCACTAACGCATTGCAAACATTTTTATAGATTCGTTTTCAGGTAGTTTCATAAAATTTTACTTGCTATCTATTTTAAAATAAGCACGTGGCAAGTTATCTCTGGAGAATTCCCTGTAATATCTCCATTAAAAATACTCTCGATCTCCGCAGCTTTATGTGTCAGAGTAATTTCTTAGTTCGATGGTCATGTCCTATGAATATGCACGTATCTCGTCATAACCCTATTCAGATCCCTATATTTTAACATGTCATTTGAATAATTTCTGTGAAAAGTAATCGAGGGGAGTAATATAATGCTTTGTATCGCAGACATGTAAAATAATCAGTAGAACCGTATTTTTTAATATTTCCGCGCACTTTTGTGTGTGATATTGATTTATCATTTTTTTTTAATATTCCGATTCTATGCAGACTCCGTAGATCAAAATATAAATAATAAATAAGCGTTTTACCATGAGCCTATTAATCAGGTAAGGAAAACGGGTTATAACCCACCACGCAGGTCTAATACGTATAGGTGGGTGTAAACTACTGCAAATGCAGCCAGAACCAACCTCTTTACTTACCTTCCGAAGCTTCGAGCTCGATATAATAAATGTTTGGCTACCCATCCTTTGACCGGCCGTTACTAAAGAAAAAAAGGGGTTGTTATTTAATGAAACAGGTTTTTTAATTACACCAATTTAACGGAGTTTTGTACTTTTCTATATTCAACACAAATAACGTCGCACTAATATTAATATTCGAGCTTGGTAACCATCGAATAGGGTCATATTAAAGACCGATAGGAACTTCGCTATCTGGTTAATTGTTCAAGGCAACCTCGGCAACAGGCTTTAATACTTATTATGGAAGATAGGAAGCCCCATTTCTATGGTAATTTGGGGACTAGTGGCTTATAATTACAAAATTACTATAGTTAGCAACTAACCTACACAAAGTAGACTATACTATTATTTTAATCACATTTCAAACACCCTACACAAGTCATATCTACACCCGCAGCCATATACAGCTACGTCGTTTACCCCTTTGCCACCGCCACAAAAGAAAACATTGTTAAGGTTTTCGCGCCAAAACACGCGCCATGTTTCCAACATGGCGGGGAGACCAGCGCGCCTCTTTACGACTTCCTCGAAAATTATGGCTGTGTTCGTACGTTAAACTTTTATATCCACAACGTGTCGGTTGCACGTACATTATAATAATATTAATGTAGAAAAGCACGATCTCGGTACTCGTTTTATTTTGCCTTCGTAGTAAACACGCTTTCTGTTGAACTAATAGCGCGGAAATCTACGTGTTTGATATCTCTGCTTCATATGGTAATTTTCATTTCAAAGTGTTTTGCATTAGGTATTAGTTCTTGAAAAGAAGACAGAATTTTCTTATTGAACAGTTTTGTATTAACTACTTTAAGTATATATGTATACATATGGAAAGATAGTAGAGTTCTTACCAGAAGCCGTGGTCACACACACTTACACACGCATGCAAGCACGCACAACATACACACATTTCCAGCGCATTTCAAATTCTTGCAATTATCTCGTCAACCGTGGTGTTAATGATTGCAAATGCAGCAGGAACCAATTACTTAACGTGACTCTAAATTGTTGGTCCCCCATCCTATGCCCGCGCGTCAGTACGAGCTCCTCAAATTTTGGATAGCAATTTTTACAGTCTACGTTTTAGACTCAGTGAACTGTCAATATCTGTGGAAATTCGCAGGTGTGCAATGGTCGTGAAAACTTGTCAGGATTAAGTTAATTTACGCACAAACTTTGCTAACAAGTAGACGCCTAAGACAGATCGATCGTGTGATTCATCCTCAACTTTTGGTGCGCTCTCTGTGGTACCTTTAAGTAGCTGAAAGCGGTTACTATTTTTAAGAAATCAATAAGTTATTTATTGATAAATAACATCTACAAATTTTATAAGTTTAGTATATTTTAATGTAGTAAACAAAATTATAGGTTATACCTCCCACCATCTTGGGTGGTCCGCCATAATAGATTTTAAATAGTAAAATCAATTTACTTATTCTTATCTACCCAGCGATCTCCTAATAATTGACACTTTGACACTCATATATTATGAGAGTACTTAAAGATAAGTCTGCAAATTGTATTAGAATAAAGCGATTTTATTATTTTCTTATCTACTCTTCTCATTTGATACCCGTATCGAGTACAAAAAGTACTATTCCACCATCTTGGCCCGTCCCACATATTTACTTAACGGACGAATACCTTACGGCATTAATTCCGCCCTTTGCTATTTGCAATAAAATTATGTTACTCTGGTAGCCGTGCTACGTCATATAAACACACAAATTGATAACCGCTTATTTTGAAGTCCAACTTTCTCTCAACAAAACTGAAGTTCTGCCACCTGTGACTTGTGATGAATTGATCGATCAATTCCAAACTTTTATTTAACGTCAAATATCGTTCACTCTCAACCGTCAGGGGCACGTGTGACCGGGGTCTACCACCCCTCTCTGAATGTCATTTGTCATATTCGTTGACTCTATACAAAACGAACCATTTATAATGCGACAAAAGAGCACGATATGAAGTCAGATGTTGCGATTTTGTTACGATAACAATTGTATTAAAATTGTGCACTTGTTTTTAAAACAAGAGATCACAAATTACGTATTTGCGATTTGAAGTAGAAATTTCCGTTACAATTTGATTTCTTTACATTTTTGTTAGTAAATAAAACTTAATTTTATCACCTAATTTATAAGAAAAAGAGTAGGTATATTTACAAAAAGAAATGATAAAATGGCTAAATTTATGTTTTTTTTTCTACGGAGTAAATTTTATAAAGTAGCATTTTCAATGTGACACAAACCTTTAAAACGTGATAAATTTTTCTTATTTTTATTTACAGATTATTTTAACGTTCTTTATTAGTACAGAATCAATTGAAAAATAGTGTCAGTTTCTTCTTTTTTACTATACACTATATTTAAACTTTCTTATACAAAGAACTGTACAAATGGTAAGATGTAGAATTAAAAACTTGTCCGTTTGATGCTTTTTGAATACAGATACGGAACGCGTTTTAAATTCGCGTTGCATGAAGAGTAAATCGAATTGATTTATACCCTTACAGTGCTACTTATAAACAAGGTTTAGCGTCAGAGTAAATTTAAGCTAAAATTGCAATTTTAGTATTAGTCCATATTCATATCACACAGATAATAAGCAAATCTACTACCTTCTATGAGCAGATATCACTCCCGTAGAACCTGGTACTAGGTTAACTTTTGTTAGTTTGTTAGTCCTTAAGTCTCTGTTTAATAATATGAATTTTTACTTATACGTAGAGCAGTCTCAGAGTAAATTTACTCCAACGCTAAACCTTATTTATAAGTAGCATTGTTAGTTCATACTAGTTAAGTGGGAAGGGAT